CTACAGGCAGAAAACTGGAGGAAAGAAACTCCAAAACATGGGCCACTTTGGGCTGGTGCCTGGGTACCATCCCTCCGGATACCATCCTATGAACACACCAAGGACATTTCAAAGGATTGTAAAAGGTCTAGTCCATGATTCTGGAATCGCCAACATCCTCACACACTTTTTAAGGAAAGGGGGTTTGAAGTAGTGGAAACAAATCACCAGCCTGCAAGAAGCTGCGTCGGGGAGGGGCTGGAGTCCTAGCCTCGAGAACCAGATGTTACAGAAGGCCAGAAAGCTCCCCTGGTCTGGAGCAGGCCCAGTGGTTTGTCTGGACGGAGGCACGTTCATACCTGGAGGTCTCCAGAGCAAAGGCTCCTCTCCATGGCGTGGAGAGCACCGCCTGCCCCTGCCCCGCTCTTCTGTGGGAACTCGCAATGGCTGGGTTGCCCCAAACACGTTAGTGACCCCACTTGGTCGGATCCAGCAGCTTTTGGAAGGCAGTAAATAATGGCAAGATAAATCAGGTATCCCGGCACAGGAGTGGGGTGCATCTCTCCCACGCAGGGCTGGGAAAGCCAGCAGTGCTGCAGGCGATGCCTGCCAGCGCCTTCTAAAGCGCGCCTTCCAAAAACGTGCCTTGAGGGGATGGATTCACAGCCCACAAACCCCAGGATGTCCATAAGCCCAGAAAGAAGAGCAAGACTGGAGATGCTGTCAGTTGGCTTGTGGCACGGCTGTGCAAGTCAAGGACCTGTAGGAACAGCACCCCAAGTCCACCCGGGCAGTCAGCCACATCTCCGAAGCCACCAGCAAGGCAGTGTGAGAACAACATGAAAACCACAGGGTGCCCCCATCCCCATCCTAACAAAAGGACGAGGCAGCTGGTGCACCAGGAGCCAGGGCCAGCTGTCCCACCGAGCCAGCGGTGCCTGCCCTCCTGGGCACCCCTGGGGATGGGAGCACCTTCCCAGCCAACGCCGCGGGCATGGGAGGAGGGAGGAGCAGGAGGTCCAGCCAGGCATCATGGTGCTTCCACTAGAGGCAAGAAAGCCTCTACTGGGTACCGGAAGGCAGGCTGATGTAAAAAGGGGTGAACGTAGGCCTGGTCCATCTGGAGATAGGTCTGCTGGGGTTGGACCAGGGCACGGTCACGTGTAGGGGCTGCATAACCTATGCTAACTACCGTACGTGATACTGGGCTTTAATCGTTACTCCTCCTGCGGAGGCAAGGAGCAGAGTGCCCTGGTTTTATAAATCATAGTCGCTGAAAAACAGCAGGATTAGAATTCAGTGGCCATTTGTTGCTGGTTTTCGACAGAACAGCAGCCAGCCCTTACTGGGTGATGTGGGGAGCTGAAGAACCAAGCTTCTCTCTAACTTCATTGGGAACCCAGACCTGGCAAGGACCCTCCCGCTCTGCAGGTGATGACGCTGCAGAGTCCTCCACCGTCAGAAAGAGAAAGAACCGATGAGGGGGAAGCCAACTGGCTGAGAAAGGGGTAGCGGGGAGACTTGCAGGCCAGTCAAGGGAGGAGAAAGCACGCGGCGTAATTGGAACAAGCCATCACGAAAACAATCCCAAACTTAATTCCCTTGGCCAGGACTTCACATGGTGCTCAGCAGAATTAGCACTTTATCTTTGCAGACACAAGAGGCATGGACTCGTTCCGCCGTTGTGCAGCCACCGATCCCCTTTCTGCTCCCTTTTTTTTTTTGGAGAGCCAGCAGAAGAGGCGTCTTTGCAGCTCGCCACGGGACCTGCAGCTGTGGGCGAGGAACGATGGAGACGTCCCGGGGACGTCACTCTCTAGCAGGTGGTCGGGAAGACACAGCCCCGCGCCCAGGGATGGTGTGGATCCAGCTGTGCCCCACTCCCGAACACCTGGAGGCCAGGTTCCCTGGTGGGGCGGCATCGCGGGCAGAGTGGCCCCCCCCTGGCGCCTCCCCAGGGGGAAACCCTGCCTCGGTGCTCACCCAAAACAGATCAAAGGAGCCCGAGTGACTCCTTTGGAGAGAAGCGGTTACAACTGGAGGGCTGCAGTTAACCGTGGCCAAGCTTTTCCATTGTTATTTTACAGTTGCTCGATGTTCTGAAAGATATTTCGAAAAATGACTTTAACCATCCTGTGCCAAACTTGGGCGAGGGGGAAAAAAAATGGAATTTGGCAGACACGTTCTTCATTCAGCATGCAGCTTGGATGACGTCCAGTGACTAACACAGGAGTTTTAACTGATCTGGGAGACTAAAAACCATTCACAAATAATTTGATTTAGGGTCACTGTGATTTCTTTTTATAAATAATTTTCATTGAGAAGCATTTTTTTAATTAGGATGGACAGACCTAATAGCAGCTCTATTGTGTGCACAGTTCATCGTTCCCGTCCTCATAAATGACTTACACATGTGGTGTGCTAGCTTCTTGTTCACTGCACCCGATGGGGCTTGTTCACGGGGCAGGCGACACCTCACGACAGCGCACGAGCCCCGCTCCAAAGGCACGCTCTCAAGAAGACCCAGACGGAAAGCAAAGGATGCTTTGGCCACGCTCCCTCCCCGCCCCCCCCCCCCCCCCCCCCAGTCCAGGGGCCGGTCTAAGACTTTGCACAACTTCCGACATCCCCACGCAGCCCTAACGGCCTTCTAATTACTCCGGCTCCAAGGGAGGGCCACGGCGACTTTGCTTTGATGGCTTTATTGCTCCGAGTGCCGTCACGGCTCACGCTCCCTTTTCCATGGTGAGAGGCTGAACAAGGACCGGACCAAGGCAAAGATCTGACACATCTGGGCAAAAAGCTGTGTCCAACCGCAAGTCTAAACCCAGTCACCCCCCAACCCAGGGGATCGCCCAACTGAGCCTGAAGAGCTCCAGGAAGCCTGCAGGAGAATTCGGGCGGTGGACGGGAGAAGAATGGCTCGGCGACCCGAATGCCTCTTCCTTGGCAACACCCTCCGCGCGCGACAGCCTTTCCTTTGACTTGCACAACAACAATTGCATCCCAGCCACTTTTGTTATGAATCTTATCTGCTGGCTGAATGGCTCTTAGATTCCCTCCTGCGATTATAAACGTTCGGACAAGCTTTTGGAGTCAGCAGAGTTGTTGTTTTTGTAGCTGAATAACAGCGTGGGCTCCAAACTTTGCGGTGCTCGCTGTAATCAGATGTGTTCTAAAGCCTTCCGCACTGGATTTCGAAACAAAGGTCCCGTTGCTCTTAAGCCTGAAATCCCAGCCACGACTCCGGAAATCTTCTCCCCTGTCTTTCAGAAGAAGTGAAACTGGTGCAACAAAGGACGACTACAGAAGTCCAAGAAAGGATTTATCTTATGAGATACCAAAACTTGGTCTTATTTAGACTACCAGAAGGGGAGGGGGGGGCTGAAGGGGATACCGAGAGACACATGGAAGGGAAGAAAACATGAGAAAACCTTAGGAGAGCTTAGGAAAGCTCCAAGCCGAGAGCTGTGGAGCTATAAAGAAACCATTGATATATTCAGGCTGGGGATGAAAAGATTTCTGATTTTCAGAGCAAAGAGGTCTGGGACGAACCCACAGAAGACGCCAGCACGAAGCCTGATAAACATACGGCACATATCGATGCGGCTACCTGCGTCCAGTTCTGGGCTCCCCAGCTCAAGGAGGACGAGGAGCTACTGGAGAGAGTCCAGAGGAGGGCAACAAGGATGATGGGGGGACTGGAGCATCTCCCCTAGGAGGAAAGGCTGAGGGAGCTGGGCTTGTTCAGCCTGGGGAAGAGAAGGCTGAGAGGGGATCTCATCAACACCTACAAATATCTCAAGGGTGGGGGTCACGAGGACGCAGCCAGACTCTTCCCAGTGGTGCCCAGCACCAGGACAAGGGGCCATGGGCACAAACTGAAGCAGAAGAGGTTCCAGTTGAACGGGAGGAAGAACTTGTTGACTGTGAGGGTGCCCGAGCCCTGGCCCAGGCTGCCCAGGGGGGCTGTGGAGTCTCCTTCTCTGGAGATCTTCAACCCCCGCCTGGCCGCTGTCCTGTGCCCCCTGCTCTGGGTGAGCCTGCTTGGGCAGGGGGGTGGCACTGGGTGAGCTCCCGAGGGCCCTGCCAGCCCCGGCCAGGCTGGGATTCTGTGACTACAAGAGCAAGGGAGGGCAGCGTGTGACCCAGGAGGCCCCTACAAGATCCCTGTCCAGCCTTTGGCCACCAGTGCCTGGATGAGGTATGAAGAGATTCCCCTGGCTTCTGCATTTGTCCATCACCTTTGTCCGTCCTGTTTCGCGCCTGGCTTTGTTCAAGCAGTCATGCCAGGCTTGCCTTGGCCACGGTACTTTGTTTTAGCACTGGGCAGACGGCTGCAGGTCCCTGCGGCGCAGCCATGGGCCAGCCACCCGGGAGGGGCTGCTGTGGTCGAGCTCCTTTTGCAAAAGATTACCAACTGGGAAGAAAAACCGCATTTTTGGCTTTGTTCTGTTCACTTAAATAAGCAAATGCCTGTATTCAGGCTGAATTCTGATTCAAACCCGGAGTATTAGGGACTTGCTGGGACTGGCAACACGGAATGACGCTGGGCAAGCAGGGTCCCACCACCACCTCCCCACCGAAGGAGAAACGTTGGCAGGTCTGCTCCCAGGATCACCAGCACCCACCTGGGGAGCGCCCACTCTGGAAGCGGCAACGCTGGCCTGCGCTGGGGAGGAAGAATAACCCCTGCTGCCGGCTGCTCTTCATCGGCATCGGCACCGCCAGCAATGCCCCCCGCCATGGGCAGAGGCGGACCGGCCACGCGCTTGCGGGGCGCCAGGCTTTCGCCAAATGCGTTTCCTCAGCGGTTAGGGATTTACCAGCGCCCGCGCACGCATAAAGCAGCGGGTTAGAGTTAGGATAGCTGCTGGCGTTAGCAGGAGGCGGCGGCGGTGTCGGGCCTCAGTCAGAATAGTTTGATGTCATTTGTCTTCAGGATAAAAAAAAAAGCGAATGGAGAGCGAGGGACTGGCAGAGCATCAGCCCTCAGCCTGCCACAGGGGTGCAGCGCAGCGATGCCGGCCCGGCCGCCCGGTTCCCACGCCGAGGCGCTCACCGGGAGAGGTCTCGGCTCGGTGGGGCGGGCTGAAAAATTAAACGTAGCATCTAGTGACAAGGGTTAAAACGCAGCGACGGGGCAGACGGGGGGTTCCTGCCGTGACAGCTAAGCCTCCCCTAAGACACGCGGATGCCTTAGCAATTGAATCCCTTTCTCCTGGAGTGGTGTCCAGCGACAGGACTAGGGGCAATGGATGCAAACTGAAACACGAGAGGTTTCAGTTGAATATGAGGAAGAACTTCTTCACTCTGAGGGTGGCAGAGCACTGGAACAGGCTGCCCAGGGAGGTTGTGGAGTCTCCTTCTCTGGAGATATTCAAAGCCCGCCTGGATGAAGTCCTGTGTAGCATGCTCTAGGTGAGCCTGCTTTAGCAGGGGGGTTGGACTAGATGATCTCCTGAGGTCCCTTCCAGCCCTTGCCATTCTGTGCTTCTGTGAACGCATAGGTTATCTCCTCCAGCGCAGGAGGACGTCCCGCGGGCCACCAGGAAGCCCGCTGCTTTGCGCGCCACGCTTGCGGGGTTTTTTTGGGCTGCTCGAGGGAGCATCGATCCCCTCCACGCAGCGCTCCTGGAAGCGTGCCCGTCGGGATTTGGGGTTTAGTGATGGTTGGAAGCCAT